GGGAGAGGAACATCTGCTCTAATCGCAATGCCCAGCAGCTGCCCAAAGAAGTGAAGCAACTGCTCTTCCGCATAGGTGATGGGGCTGGGCGTCAGAATATACTTCCCCTTGAAAAACAAACAGACACATGTTTCAACACCCAGCCCTGCAGGCGGCTGCGCCCACACAGCATGACATAACAGAGAAACACTTTTGTATCCGAGGTGCTGGCCCTTTGCACCAAACAAGCATATTAAAGGCTGGCACCAGTGGTTTTGTCTCCGTGTGGGAATGTGAGGATGCAGAGGGGCATGCTCACCTGCTGCACTGGCTTCGTTCTATTACCTAAAGCCGATGGATGGTAATAACCAACAGTGCAGGCACAAGACTGAGCTGAGCTAATACAGTCTCCCTGCATGCGACTGACTTACCCCGAGCACTGCAGGGAAGAAGCAAGACCTCTGCTATCATAAGCTCTTTGGGGCATGGACCCGAGACCGCACCTCTGCATCTGTAAACACCCATCACGGGCAAATGGGGCAAGATTCCGAGTTTCCAATCAATCCTCTTGCCTATCTTTAAGAGTGGCACTAAGGGCATAGAGTAGGAGCGGCAAAAAGAACTTCACATGGATACCAAAGCAGCTCTCACAGTCGAAACCCTGAAAGGACACTGCAAACTAGTGGTGATCAATGGTTACATTGCAGAAAGTAGCAGATTCAAAAAAGAGCTGTGGGGGCATTAATTACATCTAACTCTGAGGCACGGGGTTTGGATTAATGGGAGACACATGGCCAACTTCCTGTTGCTTAGGCACCCGTTTGGAAATTCCCCTTGCTGTCAGCAGTCCTGCCCCAGGCACCAAAAACACTTGTACCCTCCCAGCATTTTGGAAGAGGAACATCACTGGCTGCAAGTCTGGCCCCTCACCTTGTTCTTGTTGACAGCAGAGCTGGGGCACAGCAAGAGAAGGGAGAGAGATGAGCTCTGTAGCTCTTTGCAGACTTGCCACAGGAAGTGACGAAAAGATCCACCTGAAAAAAAAGGGGCAATGTCCTTGTTAGCTGCATTGCAAGAGTCTCCTCCCCTGTGAAATCAGACTTTATCATTTGAGATTCTCATATGGAACGCACTGGGTTGTGTCCAGTGACCATCCACACTCATGACATAAGAGAACAAGCAGTGGGTTAATTTTCTGCTCACTTAAGTATTCAAGCTCTGTGCATTGTCTTCAAGCACTGGATGTTCATTTCAGATTGCCAGAAGGAAAAGCAAAGCCTTCTACAGAGTGCAGAAGCTCTGCTCAGATAAACCAAGCAAGTGCCAGGCACTGCAGAGACCAAACTTAGGTTTGTTTTCCTGCTTTATGAAAGGAAAACTTCCTGGTGTTCAAATTCTTATGCATTACAGGCACCATGTCCTCCCCTCTGCCCCAAAGCAATACAAAGGGGGTCTGGCCCCCCATGACTACACCAATCTCCAAGCTTAGGGTCAGCCTAGCTTTCATTGCTCTTGGAGGACATTGTGCTCACCACACCCAGGTCCATGCGGCCTGGACTATAACTCACTTGTTCCATGGACCTCCTCGCCCGTGAAGCGGATGTTAAAGGCGTAGGTGGGATCCCCACCACTGGCCAGCTTGACACACAGTTGAGAGGATGGTACGCAGGCGAGCTGTCTAGCTGCCTGGCAGAAGTAGGAGTTTTCTGAAGAACGGATCTCACCTGTGAGAGAAAGCACCTTTCTAAACCGGCATGCATTGTGTGTGTGCTGTGCTCAGCAGCCGCTGAGCTCGGGCACTGAGATGGATTCCAAATCCCCTTGGCAGTAAATGCAAACTGATTAAGAGTACAACTGCTGCACATACCTCCCACTATCTCCAGTGGATCCAGGGTGATTTCTGGGGCTGCATGGTCTGCTGTTCTTTGCACTGTAGCATTCAGCACACGGTTCATTACAGTCACCTTTGTGTCATAAAAGATTAAACCTAAACGCACACACACAGTTTGTCTGTTATTGATCCTTCTGGAAGTTCATTTCCTGAAATCATGCAACAGAACATTTGGGAAAGGACCGAAAATGCCATTAAGTAACAGTCTAAGAGCTGCTCAACCTAGGTGACCTTTGGGCACACTTTACGTTCCGAGTTTGTCAGAAGGAAGGTGTCAAATGAGAACTCTTCCATATGGTTGCTGCATCACCAGATTTTTCCTGCATTAGGGAAATATTTCTTGACTTCCAAACTATGGGATGTACAGACATGAAGGAAATGTGCTTTACTAAACAGCTTTAAGATACGATGCTCTCTGAGACAGATACAAGATATAAATAAGTGTCACACAGTGCCCCCAAGTCTTGGCTCTATATTAAGGCAGAGCCTAAGAATACCAGACTTTTCCACCCTGGCTTTGTAAGCCATTTTTCTGACTAGCCAGAGGGAGACAGCAAGGCTCTACATCATAACCAATATAGCATTCTACACCTTTGATGACTGCATTTAATCTGGAGAAATAAATCCAGCTACAGTAGCACAAGTCTCATGCTATTGTGTTGGAAGCTCAAATGAAGACATCTATTAGTTCCTCTGAATGTCTATGCCTGGTACACATCATCCTGATCTCTAGTTCTCTCGTGGTGTGATCTTTTCATGGTGCCATGCCTGGAATGCCCACGTAAGCTACAGGTGCCAGTGATGTTATTTGAGCCTTAATATCATTATTATTGCTATGACTATTATTATTAACTTTGCAGAAGTACTTGAACCTCCCAAAAGGATGAAGGCACGTTTGTGCCAGGCACCACACAGATGTAGAGGACACTGTCTCTGTTCAACAAATATCTAAAAATTCATGCTGTTTCTAACAAGATGCAGCCTTCTACCAGAAATTCCCACTGCAAATTCTCACAGCACTTCAGCCAGGTTCACTCAAGTGTAGCACTCCCCTTGGTTCAACTACCTGCTTCAGGGAGAACAAGAAGTGCTCTCCACCTGAGCAGTTGTCCTTATACAGTTGCCCCTTCAGGCAGTGCATGAGGTTTATATGATGCGGAGGTGAAGCCAGCAAGCCCCTGCCAGAAGGCTGTACTCTCTCCCGCACCCCAGTCCCATGGATGTACATCACTATTTAGCTTGTCTGTGCCAACCCTGACAGATGCAAAGAGCCCTCACAGTTCCCCAAAGTCTGACCTTTGGCCTCTTGCAGCAGCGCGGCGATACTGTTCGTGTACATTTCGGTCTGTCGGAGCTCCACCAGTGGCAGGAAGAAGGTCTCTAACGTGGTGTTCAGAGACTGAAGTAGTGCAAAACGCAGGCGCAGACTTTCAATGGGAACATCTGAGGGGGAAACCATACAGAATCAGAGGGCAAAAGGACAGGGCAGGGCATCCAATCCCACTCCTCCCTCCTCCAAGGGCCAACTTTCCAGCACACTCAGCCTAGGAACCCTACACTCAAAGGACCTGCCCTCACTTTGAAGACCAGTGTCAAGGCACAGTAACAGGGTAGTGTGAGGAAACTTGTGTTGCCACAGCCCATGCTATTCGTTTTCTATGGTGAGAGCTGACTACAGGGCTGCCCACCTAGTGCCCTTCCCCAGCACTAAATGCACATTCACGCCTAGATTGTTCACACCAAACCCACGAGCGGTATATAACCTGCACGTACTCAGCAGACACGAGACCCTGGGATCCGCTGTGTCAGCTGGATCCAGATAAACTTCGTGCGGGTGCAGTCGTGCTGGGGTGATTGCAAGGTGACGGCAGAGGCGGTTGATGTACTGAACAAGGGCTACATCCATCTCCAAAGTCCACTTCCGGGAAGCTTTCTGCGCGTGCCTGGCATCAATGCAGGCACATCTGAAGGACAAAGAGATTAGAGCTGGTGAAATGCAAATGATACCCCAGTTAGAGAGAGCCCACATTAACCAGAAGCCAGGGGGCTTGCTACTCATCTCTCTTTTCACTTTCCTGAGAACAACTCCTTTAGCACAGGTGTCTGCAAGGAATGTTTTACCATACCCCTGCCTCGGTTTCAGCAATCTGACAAAAGTGACCCCTGTTCAGCAGGCTTACCCACTGCCATAAATAGTGCAGAGGGGACACAGCAATCAATCCATGGCTTGATCCAAGAGGAGAAGAAGGATCTAGTGATGATACTTCTTCATTTTAATGTGGTAACAGATCCTTCTCCTCTCCCCATTGGCTCCCCCTGCAAAGTAACTGAGGAAATCTACTACAACAGTGACATCTACCATGGGGCTCAGAATGCAAGGCTGACAAGGCAAGAGGCCACATGAGCTGGTTTATGCAGTAGGAGAGTCCACAGCTAGCCATGGGTTTTGGGAATGAAGTTCTTTTGTTCAAAGCAGATCTCTGTAATTCTGGATATGATCCTACTGCCTAGGAACCGCCCCCCTGGCTGCTGAATGGGCATCATCCTGTAAATCATCTTTAAGGGCTTATTTAGCAATTCTGTGTTGAGGCCTTGCAGCCACCTACAGCAGGAGCTCAGCATTAAAGAAGTTTGATAAGACTCGCTGTAGCAAAAATAACCCAGTCCAAATGTGCTCAAATGAAGCATTCCCTATTCGATATTACCTTTACAGAACTTACCTTTCGAAGTGAAGATCATATCCACAGGACAGAATAGCTCGCCAGACACTCCGGATGTCCTGTTTTGCGCGGTCAACAACAAATCTGTGAAATCCGTCGAGCGTCAGATACTTCTCTTCAGGGACTGGTAGCAGAAATGCAAATATCAAATGATTAGTGACTCATGGTGCTAACACATAAGCAGGCCTATGTTGCCCTCAAGTTCACAACTTGAAGACCCTTTGTCTGCCAACTTCCTTCTGGTCTTCCCCTCTTCAGAACGAGGAACTACAGCGCAGCCCCTCCCAGAACAACTAAGTCTCCAAATGTTATGTTGACTAAAGTTTACCCCTAAGAGAAGGGTGCTCACTTCTCTTGCAAATGACCCAGGACCCTCCCCTCCAGCTCCACTGAGGGTATTCTTGCCCAGGTATATAATCACAGGACACCTCAAGGCTTCATAGCTGGCTGCCGACACTCCCCTTCAGAGCTGATCCTGTATTTCCAAAAGTGAGGGATGGCGTCACAGAGCAAGCCCTCACAGTCAACCCCAGCTGGCCAATGAGTAACTACGAGGCTCCAGCCCTATGAATGATTGTGCAGTCCACATTGCTAGTGATAGAGAATTCTCTCGTACTAGATTACAGAAGTTTTAATGAAAACTGAACTATTCCACACTTAAACTAGGGAACATAACACATGGGCACACTGCACTGCTCTACTGCAGTATCTTTCATTTCCCCCTGTATGATGCCTTTAAACTATAAGCTTCTTTAGTAGAGAACTTGGGTTTTTGTAACACACACTCTAAGAGCTGCACAAACAAAAATAATTCCTTAACCAAGTTCCCCTCAGTTACATCGATCACTCCAGATTCCCACATAACTCTAGACTTTTAGTTAAACCTGGGCAATGTGAACTTGTGACATGTATTTCCCATTGGTAAATGGCTTCTTTCCCCAGACAAAGTGATGACATGAACGTCTAGGCAGACACTACCTTCCTGTTTCTTTGTGGGAGACTTTTCAGGATCCTTCTCCTCAGGTTTGCTCTTTTCTGGAGACTTTGGCTTCACAGTAGGTTTCTTCTCACTCAACGCTGTTCTGCTAAAGGACAGAACATCTGCATGTTAGAATGCACACTTTCTTATGAGAATAAGTGTCATTATCTGGCCACAATATGAAATATTGGCTTGGCAGAGAGTTTTCGAGTTTTGTTTTTTAACTTGTCTCACACCCAGAGAAGAAAGCGCTAGTTCCCTAAAGAAAAGACAGGTTCTGTACATCAGCTGGAAGCCTCAAGGCGCTCACCTGACACTGTTGAGCACAGACTTTTCCTTCGTAGGTGGCTTTGTAACTGGGCGTTTGGTGCTCACGACTTTCACTGGATGTTGCTCTTTGCCTGCCTTGTTATACTTGCTCTTGTCAAACTTTGGCTTGGGCACACCATACTTCCTTAAGATCTGCCAACAGAGAAAATGAACACAGTTAGCCTCAAGTCTTCTAAATTATCCAAGCAGGGAATTAAAAAACACATTTTACAAAGTGCTACCTGAGTGAGTTGGTCCTCTAACACCTTCTTTGGGGGCCGGACATTCATGAAGAATACGTGGAGAAGGTTTCCAGGGGTCTGAGAATTGATTTGCTCTTTGCTAAGATAAATATCAGCAACTTTAATGGGTTTTGCCGGGGTCAGGCTCAGCATTTGCTCAGAATGGACACAGCTTTTAAAGATTTCTGTGAGGACTTCCCGAGCACCTGGAACCAATTTCTCACCTATTACAAAAAAATAAATTGCAGTACAGATACAAAGGTATTATGAAAAGAGGATTTAAGATTAAGGCACAGGAAAGATATTTTTCTATTGACCCAATATAATATCAAATGCACCTAGTGTATTAGGGATCAAATACACTTCGACAACATTACAAAAAGCAGTTTAGCCTGTGCTACTGCATGCAGCATCTTTCATTTATTTTGATCAGGCAGATTACTAGACTTTTGAGTGGCTTCAGCATTTCTCATATGGTCCTAAGGTTCGGATCACAATCCGTAGAGCTACACAGTAGTATCTGTCAATACTTTAATTATTAGCCAAATTTCCTTTCCCCCTCTCGCCCATCAACAATTAATCTTACACCTTATCAATCATGGAAGAAGTGAGCCATGAATAATGGTTTACTATTACCTGGCCAGCTTTAGAGATGACTGAACATTACTCAGACTGCAAACAAATTTCCCCACCATCTACTGGCAAGGAACTAATGAAAAATACTTTTCCCCTTTACTACTCATTCTATCAATAAAATAGTCTGAATTTGCACCAATGAGAAGGCAGAATCTGCCTTCTTGTCTATGTACTGCAAGCAAACTATTTGCTAACATGGAAAATACACACCTTTTATTGATTTATCATTGAAATAGTCTTCCAGTGCTGGGCTCCCTTGTGTATCAAATAAACTCTGATTGACAGTAGAGACTGTTAAAATCTCTTCAGTTGACATTTCCATTAGTTCATCTTCACCATCCAGGCTTGACAACCCAATCAGATCACTGCTGTTAAATAAACTGGCACGGATTTTCTCTATTTTAGCTCTTGACCTTATCTGTGCAAAAAAAGGAAAGAGCTGAAAGGAATTCTGGCAAGGGACAAATGATCTGCCATCCATGAGTTAATTTTTGCATTCTCTTTTCTTGCAGAGACTCAGAATTATACATCCGCATTCACCCTTTGATATACCAGAATTCAGATGCACCTGGCAACATGTCTGTTCTGAGAAAAAAGCTAACTCAAACTGCTACACCAAAAACTTAATTATACTGGCCTCTTGGGACTTGCTATGCCATATCTTAACTCTGGTAGCCACTCACAGAAATATTCTGATAAGAAAATACAGTTCCCAATGATTTGAAAGGCTGATAGGTCATCTGCAGTTCTCCTTTACCATATTGTCTGGCTTCATCTCTCATTTGGAAGAAAAACAGATACAAGCAGCCCTGGGAACCAGAGCTGTGCAGAGGGGAATTGAAACACCAAATAACTTCCTTGAATGCTGTGAGTAATAATCATACATCATTCCCAGAGCTGCTAGAGACCCAGAACAGGACTTAACATGATTAAGTTGCCGTTTTCCTTGTAGAGACCTACTATTTTTTTCAGTGGTCATGGCTTTGGGTCAATTAAAAGTTAAGAACAGCAGCTGAATAGTTGCTGTTGAAAAATGGTATATTTCTTCTTCAGGAGGAATTGAAACTCGTCTAATTCTGAAACTAGAATAAATTAAGGCAGTGTCTGAAAGCCCACTGGGAGACTTTCCAAGTAGGCTGAAGGGATGTAGGAGCACAAGGCTTTCACAACAGGATTTATGCTTGTGGAATTCAGAATACATCTTTTAATATCAAACCATAACACCGATGAAATCAAACAAGGCTCTACACTGAATGGACTGTGCAAAAATCCCCAGTCAGTCACTTTGCACCGTTATGTTCAGAAAGCATGCTGTATTTTAAAGGGTCTGATAAAGCCCATGGGAAGAAACAGCTGGTCACTGCACAGTGGTGGCAGCAATAAATCTGCAGACAGGTTAGTATAGGAAAGAACATCCATCAAGTTCAAACGAAATGAACATGGGTCGGCAGTGTGGGGAGGCAGTTAGGAAGGCCAACCGCACCTTGTCATGCATC